GCGCAGTCGGGGCGGCGGTGGGGCCATCATGCAGAAGATCAAGTCGCTGATGACCCGCCAGGTGAGCGGCTCTTCTCGGGGGGCGGTAGGGTACCGCCGCGGCCGTGCCGGGCTTTCCTCGGGGCCGCCGTGCCCGGGCACTCCGGAGAGACGCCGGGGCGCGGGCATCGCCCTCTGCCCTGCCCGGGGAGGGAAGGCGTGGGGCGTGTGAGCTCTTGCTGAACACACATCCCCCTTGTTTTTCTCTTTACGCCCAGAGAGGGAAGCGTGCGCAGGTGCCAACGCGTAGCTCGTGTCACAACAGAGAAATCGTTGTTGAAGATGACAGGGCGGGCCTGTGTCAGTTCGCTTTTTTGAGATACAATTTTGAGCGCTGGGCTGTGGTTCTGTAACATGGCTTTATCTGGCAGCAGATGCTTTTGGTCTAAAGGGAGGCGAGGCTGAGGAGGTGCCAGGGACATATTTGGGTGGGCACATAGTGAGTGTGTGCCAGAGCACTCGGTGTGTGTCTGTCAGCTCACTGCTGTGTGCCACTTGTTCCGGTTGTCTCCAGGATTATATAGCTCTAAGCCTACGTTTGGACCAATATTTCTAAGGTTGAGAGTCCTTTTAAGGAAGTATATCCGCAGAACATTCCAGTTATTCACATGTATAAGATACCCCTGAAAAGAAGTCTGTTTATCTGTGTCTAATTGGAAAATTTTAAAAAACATCACTTGTGTCACCCACGTCAGATATTCTAGATAGTTATAGAAAATCATGAGAAAGTCATAAACTTTTTTTTTCCCTAAAACTATGCCCTCAGAGTGATGATCCTTATGCAGGTGGCAGGGTTTAAAAATGAACACTTGTGTGAAAGTGGAATTGCCAAAATAATGTTCTGTTCCGCTTCAGTAGAGGGGTACATGATTTGTTTTCAGCTTGACTAGGAGGAGTGCTAGGAAGCCTGCCCAGTGTGGAGATGATGTTTTCTGATGATACAACTTAGGCAATTTGCAGTCATTTGGAAGGATTGAGTTCTATTTACCATTTGATAAGTGAAATCTTTTATTTCTTCTGGAGGTGAGTCACTAGAACTGCATATTTTTGAGAGGACTTGAGGAAGATTTTGTGTGAAGTATGTGAAACTGCATCAGTTGCTTTGCTTGTTTCTCACTTCAAATTTCTGATCCATAGCAGTGAGTCACCTTTGATGGTGGCAGCTGCAGAGGGAGGATGTTTTGAAATGATGTGCAACAGAAGCTGAGAATCAAAACCAAAATGGTGAGGTTTTGCATCTTGGGAGGATGAAACTGTTGTAAAATGTAATAGTTGCCACTGAAATGACATACAACACTTTGTCAGTTCAAAGAATAAACATAAACTTTCTCATCATTAGCTAACATAGTACTTGCGCAGGTCCTTTTAGAAATAGAGGTACCCAGGGCCAGAAAGGGGCTTGGCAAAATATTATTGACATCGATCACAAGAGCAGGAAGTCCCCCTGAAACTTGTGACTCACAGGAACGTCCTGAAGTCTCAAGGGAAGCTGGAGTCAGAACCATGTCTGAAACTTGAATGTGTAGATTCATTTCTGCCTAGGGAGCCAGCAGAAAATATGCTAAGCAGCCTGTTCTGTGGGATGGCTGCATGAAATGGTGAGATGCTCTTTCAGGTTGTCGGGAGAAGTTGTGGATGCCCCATCCCTGGAAGTGCTCACGGCCAGGCTGGACAGTGCCTTGGGCAACTTGATCTAGTGGAAGGTGTCCCTGCCCATGGCAGCTTGGAACTACAGGATCTCTAGATTCCTGCTAACCCAAACCTTTCTCTGATAATTGTGAATATGTTTGATATTCAACAAATATACATACTGTTTATGTGGTTATATCTGTTTTAAGGAGTAATAATTATATAAAGCAGCTAATGTGGACTATGCAACCTTTTCAGTTCAGATACACGTAGGGAAAGCCAGTCCTAGTAGTGGAATATGAAAACTAGAAAAATATGCCATCAAGCAGAAATAATCTTGCTATAGAGTAGGTGGCATCTAACTTGAATTCAGTTATTTGATTCCATTAAATCATTAAGTTAGTGGAACAAAGTATGCTATGTTTTTTGGACACAGCTCATTCTAAAAATTAAGATAACATCTGGACATTGACAAGAGGATGTGAGTGTTATAAAGAAAATGTTAGTGAACTGTACTGAAAAGATACATATTGCAGCATAAACCTGGAAATGCTTAGATGTTTAAGAAGCATAATTTATATACCAATGGTCTTGCTTAAATGTTTCTAGAATGAGGTCTTAGCCTTCCAGCTACATGTCAGAGTATTGAGGGACTTATAGATATCTATTCAACATCAAGTAAGACTTGATTGTAAGTTACGTAAAGGAATTAAACTTAACTGATTATTAAAATTCTTTTGAAGGGTCTAAGAAGTCCTCAGGAGAGTGTTAATGACCTCAGTCCTATCGAAAGCTTCCGGGTTCCTACTAAGGTATGATACAACATCCCTCCCCTCCCCATTCCCTTTGCTTTTTGTTTTTCATTTTATACTTAAATGACATTTTGTTGTGTCCTTTTTTCCCTTAACACCAGGTTTGCTGTTGTTATTTTTTCAGAGTTTTATTTCGTGATGAAAACCATTTAGAGTGTTTTAATGAAAGAATTAAGAGACAAATCAGAATTTGTGAGACAAATCAGTTCACCAACTCCAAATGAACTTGCATGAATTTTTTTTTCTTGAAATTTTTCAGTTGTCACTGGATGCTGATCTTAATTATTTAGGTTTCTTGCTGGTGTGAATTAAAAAAAAACCCAAAAAACGGAAAAAGAAAAATGCCTTTTTTAGTTTTACTTTGAAAAGTAGATGCTGTGTGGATGGCCTAGGCCTGTATGGTTCTAG